GGCAGTTCTCTGCTGATGTCAATATATTAAGCCATTATTTACATTAAAAATGTTAAAAGAAAATCACTGACATACAATGTACTAGTAGTTGTTGTTGTTGTTAAGTGCCATCGAATCGCAGGCGACTCATAGCGACCCTATGAAGGAGAGTCCTCAACACTTGGGTGTCTCTCATCCTCTCTCCAGGTTCATAGGGTTTCCGGAGGCAAGCTTTTATGGAAGTGGATGCCACTCCTCCTTTCAAAATGTACTATTAGAGTATTTTTGTTTTTGTTGTTGTTATTGAAAATATCTAAAGAGGATCTTACATGACTCTTTTGTTTCCACAAAAGAAATGCATACCAGGTGGAAGAGCAAAGCTTAAATATAAAATAACTACACTAGCAAAAACACTAGATACTTCTGTAAAAATAAGTTCTGATTAACAATTGGGGAGCAACTGCTTTTAAGTTACAATACGTTCATTAGGAAAAGGGAAATAGAAAGTGTGTGACTCTTGTAAAACTAGGTTCCTGTCAGCAGAAAAACAGTTCACAGCTGCACTAAGAGTTGAGAGATCTTTGACATTGAACATGAAAATTGCTACAGCAGCAAAAATTACTAAGTAAATTCAGTCAAATGTTAATGAATTTAAGACCTGGTTAAAAATTTATTTAGTCACCTAGGTCATGCATTGTCACTGTTCCCACATTGCTGGGGAAATGCTCTCACACCGGAATAGGTTCAACTTGGCTATGCAGAACTAAATTTATGCAGAGGACTCCAGAAGAGGACCTGAGTCAGGAACTATGGCTCTGAATGAGAAAACATTTTCAAACATATAAGTAATAATCTTAAAAAAATAAGAAATGAAAACAAGGTTTTGTCTGGAGAAAGCCAACTCTCTAGGGTTTTTGAAAGTTTATTGAAAGTAAGAAGCCAAGGCAGTAGAAGTTAGTCACTTAATACTCCTCTAAGCACAAGGCAAGAACTCAAAGGAAAATGGATCGATGGAAGCCCCTAGTAACTGGACACTGTGATGTAAAAAAGTCTCACAATTCTTATATTAAAAAAATCTTAAATATACCATGGACTGTCAGAAGAACAAATAGGTATGTCTTGGAGAAGGTATAGTAAAATTGATCCTTAGAGGCAAGGATAGTGCAGCTTTGTTTCACATATCTTGAGCATTTTGCTAGAGGGGTTATTTCTTGGAATGGGACATCATGGTAGGAAAGTAGGAAGGTCAGCAAAAGATAGGAAGACCTTCAGGGAGATGGATTGACCTGGTGACTGCATCAATGGACTCAAATATGTTAGAGGAGGCAAGGATGACACAGGATAGAACAGGGTTTAGAACTGTTCTTAGGGTTGTTATGAGTTAAATTGATAGCTCATAACAACAACAATACACATGTTCCCAGTCAATCATCCAAAACTACATAATCACAAAGCAAGCTTCCAAACAAACAGCATTTCTACAGTACCTGTGTTTGTAGAGGTAAAATGCAAACCCTGATAAAATTAGAGCAAAAAATGGAACCAGAATGGCTGCTGCGACAGAACCGCTGCTAGTGCCAAGGTAAGGATTTGAAGAATCATGATCAGAGTTTATGGGATCTGTAAAACAATTGTTAGGAAAGATAATTTGTAGTTATTGTATTATAGGCAAACAAAGATACATGTTATAATGAATTTTAGAAATTAATACAATCTCCACAAGAAGAAAAATAGTTTTAATCCTATCACTATCTAATATTCTAATTTAAAGATTTTTTTTTCCACCATTACAAAAAAAACAAAACACCCCAAAACCAAAACCAAAACCCAACTCTTCTTTACTAACATTGAACAACATTATGAACAAGTCTCCCATTTCAAGGATGACAAAAGCAAAAGTGGTTCCACGTGTGCTAACTCTTAATGCTAATTACAATTTTATATGTTGGCTGAAATAAACAAAGTTGTTTCTGTTCTATGGACACAGCATATTAAAATACAAAATAGATATCAAAGTTATAATCAGCAAAATTCTGATAAAACTGCTTCATAATATATAAAAATACAGAACACAATCTTTTCTATCATTTATTCATAAACTTACTTGAAATTTTCGTACTTTTATTCTGATTGGAGGAAACATTTACTAAGTAATTGATTCTCTACTCAGTTATTCTTGCACATTCTGTTTTATAATATTAACTACAATACACACAATGCAGTTATACTTCCCACTTCTACCCTGTGGTTCACATTTCTATTAGTCCTCCTATCCTAGCTTAACATACAATGAAATTATTATGCTTTTTGCAGCACTTAGTTAATTTAAATTATTATCCTTTGTTTTAATAATTCAAAACATACTAATACATGTACATGTTATTAATTAAAATAGCATATAAAGATACAAAGTCAATAACTCATTACCATTGAATTAGAACCAACTCACAGGTGATCTTCCAGCAAGTTCTTGGAGAATGTAAATCTTACATGAAGAAACCATCCCTCCACTGGTAGATTTAAACAGCTGAGGCCCCTTTGTGTTACCAGAGCAACTCCCTATATAATATGCCACCAAGGATCACTCTTTGGTCTATATCTTTGTCTCCTCCTTTGTAGGGCTAAAATTTGTATTTTTCTGGTGTCTTTTCAGTGATACACTATTAATAATGAGGTTGACACAGGATAGGACAGGGGTCAAGTCTGTTGTTCATAGAGTCTCTATGAATTGGACTAGACAGCATCTAACAATGTTGTTGTTGTCATGTGCCGTCGAGTCGTTTGCGACTCATAGCGACCAATAACTCATAGTACAACAGCCCTAAACCCTGCTCTATCTTGTGCCAATCGCACTGCCTCTGACATACCCATCCCGATTACCCCAGTCACTGAATCAATCCATCTCATAGACGTTTTTTCCTTCTTGTGCCCTCCCTCCACCCTCCCAAGCATTATGTCCCTCTCGAAGGACCAGTCCCTCCTTGCAACTTGCCAAAAGTATGTCAGATGGAGCTCCAGAATCCTTGCCTCCAAAGAATACCTTGGTTTAACCCTCTCCAGGATGAATCTGTTTGTTTTCCTGGCAGTCGATGGTACATTTAATACTCTTCTCCAGCACCACAGCTCAAAAGAATCAATTCTCCTTCTGTCCTCCCTAGTCATTGTCCAACTCTCTGATGCATAACAAGTGATTGCAAAGATCATGGCCTATATCAGGCACACCTTAGTATCCAGAGAGACACCGTTGCTCTTGAGTACTTTAGAGAGGTCCCTAACAGCAGACTTGCCCATTGCAATACGTTTTTTGATTTCCAGGCTGCTGGTGCCAAGAGTGTTGACCGTGGAGGTGAGCAAACTGAAGCTGTGAACAATCTCAATCTCTTCGCCATCCATCCTGATGCTACCAATTGGTCCACTGTTGAGAATCTTTGTCTTCTTGATAATGAGCCTCAGTCCATACTGAAGGCTGCAGTCCTTGACCCTCTGCAGCAAGTGTATGAGGTCCTCCTCAGTTTCAGCAAGCAGGGTTGCATGTAACAATATCTATTAATATAAATGAGTGCAAGTTTCCTTTTCTTATTTTTCCCAAAACTAAGGAATACTATTTATATTTTTTCTGTATATGGCTTTTTAGAAACTTAATCATATATTTTAAAATTATTTCAATATATGTTGATATATTAATTTTTAAGATACATAGCATTCTATTTATTGCATATACAAGAATTTTCAGTCTGTTATTGAAAAGGTATAGAGACAGGATGCATCCCTGATGTACATTTTTCCTCATTTTGGACCATGCAGTGTTTCCTTGTTCTGTTCTGATGACTGCTTCTCAATTCAAGTATACATTTCACAAAAGCATAATCAAGTGTTCTGGGATTCTTTTCTTCTGAGAGTTAGCCAATTTGTTGTGATCCACAAAGAAACATATCCTCTAACAAGCTGGGCTCTGTGAGAATGAATGTGATATCAGGATTGGAAGGAGACTCATCAACAACCTAAGATATGTAGATGACACAATTTTCCTTGCTGAAATTATGGAGGACATGAGGCATTTGCTGGAGAAGGTCAAGGAATGTAGCCTTCAGTATGGATTGAAGCTCAACATCAAGAAAACAATGATTTTCACCACAGGGGCAATTACCAGCAACATGCTAGATAGCAAAGAAATTGAGATGGTTAAGAGCTTCAACTTGCTCGGCTCCACAGTCAACACTCTTTGTATCAATGGCCAGGAAATCAAAAGACAAATTGCATTGGAATACAAATTACATTGCTACCAGGGATATTTCCAGAATACTGAAGAGAAATGATGTCAGTTTGGAGACTAAGGTGCATCTGATTCAGGCCATGGTCTTTGCAATTACTAATTATGCATCGGAGAGCTGGACAGTGACTAAGAATGACAGAAGAAGAACGGATGTCTTTGCGTTGTGGTGCTGGAGAATAGTATTGAATATACCATGTACTGCTAAGAGAACACATAAGTTCATCCTGAAGAAGGTTAAACCAGGCTGCTCCTTAGAGGCAAGGATTTTGAAGCAGCCTCTGACATACTTAGGACATGCTGCAAGGAGGGACCAGTCCTTGGAGAGGGACATCATGCTTGGAAGGGTGGAGGGACAGTGCAAGAGAGGAAGACCCTGAATGAGATGGATTGACTCAATGACTGGGGTAACGGGGGTAGGTATGTCAGAGTGAAGTTGGCTCAAGATAGAGCAGGGTTCAGAACCATTATACACAGGGTCACCATTATTAAATCACAGCCAAGGTGAAAGAATTTCAAGAACGAATCTAGTGAAAGCAATGGGAAATAGGAAGCCAATAGAAATTTTTCTCTCTTGAAAATTGGTGACCCTGACTTCTCCCTTTCCTTAGTCCTCTTACCTTAATTTTATTAATCTTAATATTTGGTCCTTGCCTCAAAAGATTTCTCTCTAGTTTTCTCAAGGAGTGGATGAGAGTTTTTGCCAACCACACAGTCCATGAACTCACCATATTATCAACTGAGTACAAACCATTACCTTCCATCATCACACCTATGGATTCTGCTGCTTAAAATAAACAGCCTTTCCCCTTCCTTTTGAAATGTCATCCCTACCCAGCAGGAAGTAGCTACAGAAGTGAACATTATCACCCGTATTCAATATTAATAAAAGGCTGGAATAATAGGACTGAGGAGCCCTTTCCTTCCTCTCCCAGAATGGCTACTGAGAGAATCCAATTGCAGAAAACAGTAGTTATGCTTTTTCTCTCTGTGAAACTACCCTACCCCATTTTCCCAAGAATACGCATCTGAGACCCCAGCACAATTCCATATCTTGAAGGAAGCATCTGTATGCATTCCCTTCCCCAATTCCCATCTGCTGCTGTTGTTGTTATGTGCCGTCGAGTCATTTGCGACTCATAGTGACCCTATATACAACAGCCCTAAACCCTGCTCTATCCTGTGCCAATCGCATTGCCTCTGACACACCCATCCCGATTACCCCACTGAATGCATCCACCTCATAGAAGGTCTTCACCTCCTATGCTGTCCCTCTACTCTACCCAGCATGATTTCCCTCTACAAAGACCTGTCTCTCCTTGTCCAAAGTATGTCAGATGAAACCCTAGAATCTTTGCCTCCAAGGAGTAGCCTGGTTTAACCCTCTCTAATATGAATCTGTTTGTTTTCTTAGCAGTCCATGGTACATTCAATACTCTTCTCCAGCACCACAGCTCAAAGGCGTCAATTCTCCTTCTGACCTCCCTAGACATTGTCCAGCTCTCTGATGCATAACAAGTGATTGCAAACACCATGGCCGGTATCAGGCGCACCTTAGTCTCCAAAGAGACACTGTTACTCTTGAGTACTTTAGAGAGGTCCCTAACAGTAGACTTTCCCATTGCAATACGTTTTTTTATTTCCTGGCTGCTGGTGCCAAGAGTGTTGACTGTGGAGCCGAGCAAACTGAAGCTGTGGACAATCTCAATCTCTTCACCATCCATCCTGATGCTACCAATTGGTCCAGTGGTGAAAATCTTTGTCTTCTTGACATTGAGTCTCAGTCCATACTGAAGGCTGCAGTTCTTGACCCTCTGCAGTAAGTGTATGAGGTCCTCCTCAGTTTCAGCAAGCAAGGTTGTGTCATCTGCATAACGCAGATTGTTGATAGATCTTCCACCAATCCTAGCGCCACACATCTCCTCATAGAGCCCAGCCTCTTGGATAGTCTACACTGCATACAGGTTGAAAAGGTATGGAGGTAGGACACATCTCTGGTGCACACCTTCCCCAATTTTGAACCATGCAGTGCTGCCCTGCTCTGTTCTGACGACTGCCTCTTGGCCCAAGTATAGCTTTCGCATTAGCACGATTAAATGTTCTGGGATTCTCATTCTTCTCAGAGTCAGCCACAGTTTGTTAAGATCCACGCAGTCTAAGAAAGTATAAAATCCCCCTCTAACTCTTAGTGGGGGCTGGTCTTCTGCTTGAGAACCAGCACAGCAGTTTCTCCTTAATAAACTGTTTTTCTTAGCCCGCACTGGGTTCTGTTCTTCCTTGGTGACCTTACAAGTATGATTCACAAGATGACACGTAACAACTATTGAAAGACAGTTTAGCTAATTCTAGT